ATATCCCTTGAAAGGAGTATAGAAATGAAGTGGTTAAACAGATATAGTTCTAGAATTATTGTGATGACAGTGATCAGCCAGTGAACTTTAAGTTGCAACAAAAATGAGCTGCCTTCAGTATTTTAAAATTTTACATTATCACCTTCATTACCTTCTACATCTGTACTGTACAGCATGGTAGCTGCAAGGTATTGCAAATTAAATAAAAAGTTCAGCGTCACTAGCCACATCTCAAGTTCTTAGTAGCTACATATGGCTGTTGAATGACATTTTGGAAACTACAGGTATAGCTCATTCCACCATTCCAGAAAGTTCTATTGAACAGTGTAGATTTATCACTTGCTTACCTTTTCCTAATTCCTTTCTGAAATTCATAGCTAATTATATATTTCTTATTCAAGATGATAAGACTTACTGTATTTATCTTTATCTCCAGAAGTCTTCTGGTGTGTGCCAACCAGCCAGATGCCTTTTGAGCCTGTTACACAAGTTGCACTCTGGAATGTCCTTTCACTTTGATCTTGGGGAGGAATCTGGGCTTAGGGCCTCAGCTTGAAGTCCTCTATCACTTCGCACCCTGAACTCCTACATCTAATTTCTGTCCACAGGCCCAGCAAAAAACCACCCCTCCATCACTGAGTGGACCTGGGCATGATGGGTTTGGAGAGAAGCGTTAAGGGGCAGGGGCATAAGAGCAGAGAATTCTGAGATTGTGAGAATGAGGAAGTGCTCCAGAAGGTAGCACCATTGAGGCTGAGTGAGGGGCACAACTCAAGAGGGGTGAGAGTGGGGTCCTTTACAGGGCTGGGAACAGGGGCTTAGGTTATGTCAGTATTTCTCTGACTCTCCTGTCCTGTCTTTCCTGTTTCTGGTCTCATCTTTCTTCTTTGAGTGACTTCCTTCCTTCTTTGAGTGGAGGGCGTCTTCCACTGACGTCCTGAGAAAGGTGTCTGGGAGATGAGCTATTAGAGATTTGTGACCTCAAAATAACTCTGTTCTGTTCTCTTATATCTGTTTTCACAACCAGGTTGATAACCTTGTTCTTAAATTCTAGGTTGAAAATAGTTTGCTACGTTCAAAATATTTTAGATACTGTTTCATGGTCTTCTTGCTTTACATGTTGCTATTGAAAATTCTAAAAATTCTGGTTCTGGGGTCTTTTTCCCCCCTCTTTTCCCTCTGGAAACTTATAGAATTTTCTCTTTGTACCAATTGTTTTACCATTTCTCAATAATGAGAGGAGGGATATGTCTATTTTTACCTTGTGTCTTAGTACCTCAAGTTTTTCAGTTCTGGGAAATATTCTTGAATTGTGAACTTAAATTCCTCCCCTATTCTCTGGGTTCTCTTTCTGAAACACCTAGTATTCAGATAATGTCTTGGGCTGGTTCTCTAGTTTTATCTTTTCTCCATTCTCCATCTTGTTCTGCTTTCCTATGGAGAGCTTGCTCCAACTTTGTCTTCCAGTAATTTTATTGTTTTAAAATTCTTGCTCACTTTAATTTCTAAGAGCTTCAGAAAGCCTTTAGAAATAGTACTGTACTGCAATTCAAAATTGGAAACATCGATGAACATCAGTTCTAGTTCCCTGTCACTCCCCTCCCCCACATACACACCAGTTCATTTTCTCTAAGTGGCTGTTTTGTTCACTCTCATTCAGAGATTTCCTCAGAGGTTTCAAATTCCACCCATTTCAGGATGGGGATCAAAAAAATTCAAAGGACTCTGTTGATTAGGAGCTTGAATCGGGTAGGCGGGTGATCTCTTTGAACCTCTGGTTAACTAGTTCTTCTCAGACTAGTCAGGTTCCTTAGAACAGTCTTCCCATGATCACGCCTGACAGGAGGCTGCCCCTCTGGAGTTGACTAAGGTGACAGGCCACAGCTCTCAGCATCTGACATGAATATATTCATCTGTTAGTAATTCCACCCTTTACAGACATCCTACCTTTTATTCTTCAGAGGGTTTATTACTCTTTTGGGGTTGAAAATGGGAGCTGGTTGCTGGCTACAAGCATGAGGGTGAAGGCCTGGTTTTCTGATGGCCTTTTAAACAGACTTTCAATCAATCTGATTACAGATACAAAGGGTCTGTGGTAGCACCAATTCCTATACATTTGGGGAAATAAAAATCAGACTGGCACTTGGATTTTCCCATGGCTCCTGTACGAGTCGGTTTTCCCAGGTCTAAGTCATTAACCTTGACCTTGCTTTCCAGCTTCTAAAATGTTATCGTTCTCATCTCTTCTGTTCTCCCTTTTCTTGTAGATGATATCTTTTAAAAATCATTTGTTTTTGTATTAGTGATGTTTAGGAAAGAAAAACAAATAGGTGCATGCACTTCTTTTTCTCAGAAATCTTTGCTTTCCTCCACCTCAATTTGATCTTCCTCTTCAGGGCACATGCTGCTGAGTCATGACTGTCAAGCAGGATTTCCTCGTTCATGTCAGGGCTCCTTCCTCCTTGGGTTTGCTTCTGCAGAGCCACAGACCAGCTGGGGAAGTGAAGGTGAGGGGACTCGTTGGTGTTCTCTCGTAAGGCTGCTCTGGCATCTATAGTAACTTGTATTTCACTTCGCCCCTGGTTAACACCCTATAGAGGTCATGTCTGCCATCGTCCAATCTTAAGTCCAGGTCTTTTCAGGTTTGTGGGCAATGGGAAATGAGGATATGTGAGTAGACTTCATGAGGCTGCCTCAGGCTGGTCTACCCAGGTCATTTACAGAGCTGTTAACCAGGGTGGGGCAGGGGAGAACCTTGTGAGACTTTCTGCATCCGCTGAGTCTGTCTGAGAGGTATGGTCTACACCTCTTCCATTTTTGACTCTCCACACCTATCACTCATGGGGGATTCTGCCCATTGGAGTCTATCAGTGATGAATAAACATGACACTCTTAAGTCTTTCTGGAGTTTGAAGTTTGAAGTCTCAAGTTATGGTACCTCAAAAGTCATTTCTTGGGTCTCTCTGGTGGCACAGGGGTTAAAGTCTGAGCACTAACAAGCTATCACCAGCCTCTGGAGCACGATTTAGATTCCTGGCCAGGGAGCTGGCCCACATGGCACAGCAGACCTCTCCCGTCTCACCTGCTGTTCCCCTCAGCAGTTCATTTCAGTCAATCCGCCTGTTCTGTTCCCTACTCTGTCTCTGGTGAATCCTCTCATTGCCCCTGCACCTGTGGCCTGTGTCCCAGTTCTTCTATGCATAAGTAAATAAAAATAAATCTTCTAAAAAAGTCATTTCTTTAGAGCTATCATTTCTGCCAAGAGATTCCACCACCTATTTAGACACTCAAAGCTAGAGAGCTGTGCTTATGCTTTGGTTTTCCACAATGACATTCTGAAGCCATGAAGGTATGAGGCCCACTGCACAGGCAGGCCGGATGGGGTGGAGGGGGTGTTTGGGAGGTAACTGCATTGCTCTTCAACGTTCGGATACACTCTTTGGCTTGACTACCTTCTCATGTACCTAATATTTCCCTTTTCACCTAGATGCTCAATGTGCTGAGGGAAGAATTACACTTCAAAAGTTCTTTTCAGGAAAGAACATGTTCTGCACCCTCTTAAGTGTGTCCAACAGACAACAATTACTTCATGAATTTGTTGAAGACCTTTTCACTTTTACCTTTTGGCATAGTGCCTGGAATAGAGTGAACACTTAAATTATTGATAAATGTGCCAACTGTATCTTGGAATAGTTTTGAAAGAGAAAATTAGCACTGAAATTATGACCCTTGTACAATAAAAATGCTCATATTAATTATATTGATTATAATATTACCCTTATACAATTGAAAATAATATTTACTTAGGAAGTAACAACATGAATAACAAAGAGAAGCTAAAATAAAAAAAAAGACCTTTATGTATGTATGCTTCAAGCAATCCTTTTCTAATATGAATTTTCAATTTCAGACTCAAGTTGACAGTTCTGTCTTAGAAATTGGGCCACACAGGCCAAAGAGAATCTTTTTTTTTCCATGTTGTCTTCTGTTGCCCCAGTGTGTTCCTTATTTTAGAAAATGCAGCTGCTGGTTTCTAGCTGATTCTAGCCACTTCAGACTTCAGTGACAACTGCTGAGGGAAGGGGGGAAGCAGAGGAAGGTGTGGGGAGAGCCCAGCCGGGAAAGCTCTTTGGTCACTAGGGTAGAGAAAATGTGTCACTGGGCCACAGAGACATGTCAAGGATGGACTCTGAAGTGAGGGGGATAGAGCAAGACAGCCACCCTGGGCTGCACAGGCAGGCAAGGCTTTGTGGTCTTTCATGATGGGTAGACAATAAATCCCCTTCATACCACACATGGACTGTTGTCACGTATTTAATACAAGTTAACAAATCTCTTGTGAGTTCTTCCTAAATGCATTCACCATGCGGCTGCCCTCAGCGGTTAACCTCCAAAGAGCAGGTGCAGCTCTTATTTTCAGTAGAATTTGCCACAAATTTCCTCATTTTTTTTGCCACCCAATGGCCACTTGGTTGGCCCAGTTAGCAGCTCCCCAACCACTCTCCTTTTCCTCTGTGACTGAACACAGAGGCTTTGCCCAACTGCCAACACTTTAGCTTATGCTCAATTTTTTTGATCTATGCTGAATAGAACATGCTACCATTTTCCCTTATAACCTTGTGCCTCTGGCTGCAACTCCTCAGTCTTCATAATTTAGATGACACACACCTTCTCTGACTCACTCCATGGTTGGGGCTGCTCTCCCTGTACTTCCTCTGTGCCTGTCACTATTACAAGTCCCGGTGATGTGACATTCAAGGTTTTGTGTTTATTCTGTTTTAGTGGAAACTTCCCCAAGGCTGGAACTGTGTCCTAGTCATATTTCTCCCTCTGGCATTTGTCACAGTCCGGGTGCACAGCAGGCATAGACTTAATAATGGCATGGTGAATGAATGGATGAAGCAGACTTTATTGCCCTTTACATACTTGATAGATCAACTGCAAACTGTGAAAACCCCCATCTTCACTCTCCCCATGTGACTCACCAACTCTCTTTCCAGAATGCTGTCGGAAGGGTATCTCAGTGGACTTGCCTACTGGAACAACACCCACTGGACTTGCACATCGTGTAATGAGGAGGTGGCTGAGGAAGAGGGAGAGGAGAGGAAATCGGCTGCTGCTCTTTCCTATTCCTCTGTGGATGAAACACAAGTCAGAAGTCTCTACGTGAGCTACAAATCCTCTGGCAAGTTTATTTCTTCAGTGCATTCAAGAGAAAGCCAACAGAGTAGAAATCAGAGAATCACAGTGTTGCAGACAAACCCCAACCCTGTGTTTGAAAGCACCAACGTGGCTGCAATCAAAATATACAGAGACCCTAGCAGAGAGACTTATTTGGTTCCACCTTCCTGCAAAAGTATTTGCAAGAACTACAATGACTTACACATTGCAGGGGACCAGGTGATGGCCATCAATTCAGTGACAACAGATTTCCCCTCCACGGGCAGTTTTGAGTATGGTCCTTTGCTGAAATCATCGGAGATCCCTTTGCCCATGGAGGATTCCATGTTCACTCATCCAAGCGACTTTCCCCAAAAACCTATCCAGCAGTATTCATCCTACTGGAGAATAACCAGCATCAAAGAGAAAAGCAGCCTGCAAATACAGAAGCCTATTTCTAACGCGGTGCTGAATGAGTATCTGGAGCAAAAAGTGGTAGAGTTGTACAAGCAGTACATTATGGACACTGTGTTTCATGATAGTTCTCCTACTCAGATTCTAGCATCTGAACTCATCATGACAAGTGTGGACCAAATTAGTCTTCAAGTGTCTAGAGAAAAGGACCTGGAGACCTCAAAAGCCAGAGATATAGTCATCAGCCGCCTATTACAGTTGGTGTCAACAGAAATCAGCACTCCTAGCCTCCATATTTCTCAGTATAGCAGTGTGAATCCGTAGAGAGGATGCTGCATTTCTCAGCTACTCAAACCTAAAGCAACACTTTATTATGAGAATGTGCAGGAGTGTGCTTGCAGGGGAGTCAAGGACTAGCAAAGCAAAGGTTGGCGGGAAGCCAGGTGTGGATTAAGAGGAATTCAATATTACACATGATGGAGGAATGTGGGAGGAGAAACCATAAGGAATGACTTCAAAGAGGGATGCACAGCAACAAAGCAGAATTAAAGAGGATCAAGAAAAAAGTATGATTGTATAAAGGAAGTATAAAAACTGAGAAAGACAAGCCAAATAAGAAAACACCATAGCACACCTAACAAGTCATGAGGTTGTATGCTAGTTTCCTACCCAGTTAAATTCCTCTAAGTTGTTACTTCTTGAGGAAAATGGACTTAGAAGGCTGCTATATTTGGGAAGAAAGACAGGTTCACACACTTTCCAAAATATATGTTAATATCTCTTTTCTCTATTTTGTATCAGTAGATCATTTTAAAATCTGTTCTTTGTAAACATTAAAATGGTACTACATTGCAAATGTGTTTTTATTTTGAACCATTACTTAGCTACAGTTTCAGCACATGCAGAAGTCGCTAAAAACTCCTAATTTCAGCTTGTTAGTGGAGAGTATTGTCTAAGTAGATAATACCACAGAGTGGACGTTCAGCAACTGAGCTCTAATTTGCCACCTATGATTTTTCTGGGTAGTATTAAGCTGCAAGAGAAACTATCAATCTTGACTTTTTCTCTTCATTTTCTCCATGTTCTCTTGACCCTTCAGGAACTAGGAAGGGGGTTTTCTGCCTCTTGAAAGTCAAGTTACAAGCTCTTCTGTCCCAAGATATAAAGTTCTATAACTTCATTCACCAGAATGGTGGTTTCTCCTGGGCCTCACTGCTCTACCCCATTTCTCTAGCTCACGGGTCGGCAAACTAGGGCCTGTTATCCAAATCCAGTCTTCCAGCTTTTTTTCTTTTAAAGAAGTAATTGACATAATTTTGACTTTCCAGAGTATGAGATGATTCAGTATTTCTAGGGGCTGCAAAGGACTGCAGTAAGTCTAGTCATATTCCTTTGAACCTCCTTGAGCTAAGAATGATTTTTCTATTAAAATGATGTGTTCTGGGCTCTCCCTGGTGGTGCAATGGGTTAAAACACCACATTATGAGGCTCTCTGAAGCCACTGCAGCATGAGTTTGATCCCTGGCCAGGGAGCTGACCCACATGGTGTGGCAGACCTCTCCTGACCCGCCCGCTGCTCCCCTCAGCAGTGTATTTCAGTCAGTCTGCTCCCCACTCTGTCTCTTGTGACTCCTCTCACCCACACATCTGCCTGTACCCCAGTTCTGTGAACAAAAATAAATATTTTAAAAAATGATGTGTTCTATGGTGATCATACATGAGTGAATTGGTGGTAGGAATTTTATAGGGACTACACCTGAGAGGAAAAAGCATGCAATGTACAAAAAAAGAATGATGTAAAATATATATAAAATAAAATTTAAAAAATTGGGCTCTCTCTGGTGGTGCAGCAGGTTAAAGCACAGCACTAAGAAGCTAAAGCCACTTCACCATGAGTTCGATTCCCGCCTGCCCCTGAGGTGACCCACATGGTGTGGCAGACCTCTCCTGACCCGCCTGTTGCTCTCCTCAGCAGTGTACTTCATCAGTCCACCTGTTCTGCTCCCCACTCTGTCTCTGTTGAATCTTCTCACCACCCCTGCACCTCTGGCCTGAACCCCAGTTCTGTGTACATAAGTACATAAATCTTTAAAAAAACAAATGGTTGGAAAAGTCATCTGTATACTTTGTGACACAGGAATGTTATGTGATGTTCAAGGCCAAGTGTTCATAAAGCAAGATTGCATTGGAACGCAGCCTCAACCACTCACATATGCACTGCCCGTGGCTGTGTTCACACCACAGAGACAGAGTCGAACACAGAACACAAAACACGGTCCACAAAAGCCAAACACACTCTGTCTCTTTGCAGATGACGTTGGTTAGCCCTGCGCCATAGCAGTGCTTTAACTCTTCATGGTTCCTGGACTTTATTCCGGTTCCCTGGAGAAGCATTCTCTGCAGTGGAGACTGGTGGGCAAGTTTACTGAGGCAAATGGCAACAGGGAGTGAGGCAAGCAGAAGTTTCCACAGACGCCACTAGCCTGGGAACTGTGGAGTTGGGAAGACCCTTCTCGAAGCAAGAAGGGTGCCTTTGCTACGCCAGCCCCAGTAGGGGCATAACCCTAGCTGAGACAGTTCAGAGCAGGGCAAAACTCCAGAGTTGGGAATCAGCTGTGAGCTGTCAGGAGCCGAAATCTAAGCAGCTGTTGGGTGCATGAGCTTCTAATCCAGAAAGAGCTATCCGTTGCAGCCAACAGTGCTCTGTACATTTTCCAGTAGCATTCTGTCAAATGAACAAGTTTTTTAAAAAGCATATAATCTTGTGGAAGGAAACCTAGTTTTGAAATAATTATTCAGAAACGTTATTTGCATTTTGAAATGAATCATAATAATAGCTGCCCTGCACTGAGGGCTTGCTGTGGTGCCTGGCACCATGTGAAACATTTTCAATGAATTATCTCATGTAAGTCTCATAATGCCCTTATGAGAGAGGCCTATTATATATATATATATATATATAAAATTACAGGCAAATCAGGCTCACAGAAGTTCAGTAATTTGTCCCAGGCAAACAGTAAGTGGTTGAATGGATCTGAATCCACTTGCATTAACTGGAAAGTTCTGGTTCTTAACCACCTGCTCTCTCCTGAGGACCATGGGTTTTGCTTCATTAAAGACTGGAGTTGGGTTTTCTCATCCATGGGAAATGAACACAAATTTCTTTACCATTATGTTAGTTTTTTTTTTCCTTTGTAGTATTTTGCTTGATAATATTTGTATATCTTCCTCCCTCCAGAATGTAAGCTTTGATTTATTCATGTGTTTCTCCACATCCCAAACTGTCCTTGCACACAGTAGTAGGCATCCAATTAATATGTCAAATGGATAAATAAGCTTTGGCTGGATGTGGATGCTGCAGTGAGTGGTCACAGTGAAAGACCATCCATACAGAAACCAGGTGAAGCCTAGCTACCACAAAAGACTACAGAAGCTCCCTCCTCAAGGATAAGGCTTCCTGAAGAAATGAGCTTAATATCTGTTAGCAGGTTAGTAAATTATATACTGAAATTCATTATATTAAGACATTATCATGGTTATTTTCTCTTTTGCTTGCTTACTGGGAAATAATTTGTTAAATTAGAATGGTACATTTTCCCCCGTATTTATATGTGGCTGTGTTTTTTGTTTTTTTTTTTAAGATTTATTTGTGCATACAGAACTGGGGTACAGGCCAGAGATGCAGGGGTGGTGAGAGGACTCACCAGAGACAGAGTGGGGAGCAGAACAGGCCAACTGATGAATTACACTGCTGAGGGGAGCAGCGGGCAGGTCAGGAGAGGTCTGCCGCACCATGTGGGTCACCTCTGGGGTGGGGATTGAACTCGCGCTAAAGTGGCTGCTGCCAGTTGCTGTGCTGCACCTTAACCCGCTGCACCACCAGGGAGGGCCGATGATGCTGTGTTTTTTTGCGTGGGGAGCTTGGTGTACTGTGCATTAAATATATGTGGGGTAGGCTTATCTGCATGTGTCCACACATACAGGCCCTAGTTTTTCCAAGTTTACTATATTGTTGGAGAGGCTTAGCAGATAACTCCTTTGAGCTAAAAATGTTTTTTTTTCCCTTTTCATTAAAATGGCTGAAAAACCGTCTACATACTTTGTGACATGCAAAGTTATATGATGTTCAAGGTCAAATGTCCATACAATAAGTGTGCATTGGAACACACCCACACCCACTCACCCATGCATTGCCTGTGTCTGCTTTCAAAGAGCCGCTCATTAAGCAAGAACGTGGCAAAGTGGTTAAACAGGAATAGGAGAACAATTATCAGTGACTCTAACTCAAGTGTAGTAAGTTGGAGTTACCGGTCAGGGGAGGAGCCCAGTGCAGGCAAAGCTTCCACGGGTAGGTGACAGTTTAAATTACTCTTGAACCGCATGGGATCTAGGTGGGTGAATGGGAGAGGTGTTCCAGTCAGACACATGAGCATGTTGCGCTACAGGGAAGAGCCTGCAATGGCTACAACCCAAGCCTAATGCATGCACAGATGGACAGTATGTGGGCTTGCTAATGCCAGCCTAACAAAAAGAGCACAAACATTCTCTTACGGTTATGGACTTCAGAATTCCCAAATCATCCTCAACTAGGCTCAGATCGGGCACCAGGAGGGCGGCATTCCTTATGGAGGTTCTAGGGGAGATTCGGTTTCCTCGCCCTTTGCAGCTTCTGGAATCTGCTCCACATTTCTTGGCTCAAAGGTCTGTTTTGCAGCTCCATTATCTCATCCCCTCTGACTCCAGGCCACTTGCCGCCCCTTTATAAGGATGCTTGTGATTACAGTGGGTCCGCCTAGAAAAGGAGGCTAATGTCCTCCTCTGAGACCTTTAGGGAATCGTATGTGCAACCACCTTTAGCCCTGTAAGGTGACATATTCCCAGCTTCCTGGGATGAGGGGATGAACATTTGCTGGGGTTAACAGGGAGGGGGATGCTATTCTGTCTACCACAGCTTGGATAATTTTTCCACCCAATTATCAGAAATTTTCCTTTCCATCATCAATACTTCTTATTCGAGCTGAATAAGTTCATGTTTGCTGATATATAGCTCACTTTCTGCCTATCATCCTGTACTATACATTTTCATTTGTCCATATAAATTAATCCCCATGCTCATTCTAGGCACTCTTTTCTGCAATTCAATTCTATCTTTATTTATCTTTCTAAAAAAAAAAAAAAAAAAAAGGCCACGCAATGGAATACTACTTAGCAATCAAAAATGATAAACGCATGCCATTTGCAGCAACATGGATGGAGCTGGAAAATATTATGCTAAAATGTCTCTCTTTTTAATAATAAATGTGGTACTTGTTACTGGGATAGTG